GGGAGCATTTGTAACAACAACAACACTCCTACAATCTGCCTCGAAGTCCTAAAAATGCAAAATAGATTTTAAAATTCAAGCTCTTGTCTTGACAATTTGATTAATGAAAATCTCGATCATTGCATCTAAATTTAGCATTACACAGGTTTCTTACCAACATATTCTTCACAAGGACATAAATTTTCTGTTACCGCATTAATTAAAGATGAACTAATATGCTTTCAAAACAGGGTTATTGCATTTCAACTCCTATATTGAGTGAATTCAACTAATTATTATTAATTAGGTGAATATTAATATAATTATTCACCTAGTTTTAGATGTGTGACGATAATTTATCGAACATGGAGCGGTGTTCTTGATTTAGTGGATGACAGCTACTTTTTTTAAGAAAACGCGCAATTCTTTTGCTTAATCATATATTTCATTAATATTACAAAACGTATCTAGAAACATTAACATAAGACAAACAAACTAGTTAAATTGAAAAATAACTCTATATATTGTGAAATATCGATCGATGAATCACGAAATTAAAACTCAGTTGTTGGACTTTTTACTGAATGTTTTGGTGTAAGCTGACGTTCATAAAATGATAACATATATCTGACGATATAGCTCTATGTTTAAGTACCTTTATAATAAATGTAAGCAATTATTCAGTAGTCATTCATGTCAACAGTTAAGTGAAATCATCTAGTGTTTGACTAAATGTTGTTGAATTTGAATGAAGAAAATTGTTCTTCGTGTGAACTCAAAAAACTAAGGCGTGACTATATTGTCTCAGCATGAGTCAGGTTCCTCTCTCTCTTTTTTTTTTAATGTTTAACAATCGAAGTATTTCGGGCGTGTTTAAATAGTCAATAATGACGTCACAAAGTTTTTTTCTTTCTTTTGTTCTTAAAGTTGCATAAATTTCAGAGCGCGCTTTAGGTGGTAGGGAACGATATAGATTACAGAGATGTCAACTGCTCTGGACACGCCAAAATAATAAAAAACACGGTAAATAACTACAAAGTAAATTTTGTAAATATTTGACTATTTTTGCTTGCTTTTGAAAAGGTATAGCATGTTAAAGTGGTGAATTATATGAGTCTATGAATTATTTAGAAATAGTGGTGGATGAAAATCTACTAAATTGAATTTATTAAACCATGAATCACAATTGATAAACTACCACTTTAAAATATATATTTGCTGTCTGGAGCAGGTTGGCTTCGCTGAGATTATATAGACGCTTTTGGCCTCGCTATAACGCATGCCAATCTGACTTTTTTTAAAAAAAGTCAGCAAGAAAACAAACGATTTTTTGTTTTTCTGAGCTTTAGTCAAACAAAAGTTTTTGTTTTGAAATTTTTTTGAAAAAAGGCTCTTGCCCTATGTTATTCTAAATTTGAAAATAAAATAATGTATGGAAAAGTAAATTTAGGCCTCACTCCATGGAAATAAAATAAATTAAATGAAAAAAGTTATTTTCTTAACGCATTAAAAAAAAATCTGAATTTTCTTCGAAATACTAAGAAAACAAATGCAGGTCCTCGAGCTAATTAATGTATTCAAATGCATCTCAATCATCATACAAACATAATTTTACATTAAAATTTTTATATGTCTTCAGTAGCACTCAAGAATGTTTAATTAAGTCAGAGCCAGTGAATTCAGGAAAAATCAGAGAGTTTGATAATGCCAAGCATGCTATCTTCGGAACAACATTTCCTCCCAAACCCATTTTTCAACCTAAAAGTTTCGTTTTCACCCATTTGGCTATAGCATAGCCTACCGTGGTATTACGACTTAGAAAACTTTCAACTGGAAAAGGATTAATTACGGATAGAAGGATAAATGGACTTCAAATTATTTATTCTTATTTTTGATTAAGAAATTTATTAGGATAAATAATGTTTTAAATTTTTTTATAAATTAATGATTTTTATTGCTTACTTGCTTAATCCTCTATCACCTAGGCTTGATAAATGAATTGAATTAACCTTGCCACGATTTTAATGTTTAATTACACTTAATTAAACTTGTCACGAGTTGAAATCGCAGGAAGCATTTGGATTATTGTTCCATGTGGAAATTATATAGCAATACTGTAATATCGAACCAGGTTTTTTTTTTTTGGGGGGGGGGCNTGGGGGGGGGGGGGCATTTATTTTGAAAAACTTAAATTATTTTTTCTAAATATTTCTTCATTGATGAAGAGTTCAGTTTTAGCATTCACAATATTTTTTTTTTTTTTTTTTTTTTTTTTTTTTTTTTTTTTTTTTTTTTTTTTTTTTTTTTTTTTTTTTTTCGTAAATTTACTGGTATTTTCGATTTTTTTTTCGGTGGATATCCTATTGTTTTTCTAATTAATTCGTATGTTTTAAAACATTATTCCGATTTGCGAATTTGAGCCATCCATTTTTTCGAAACATTCGATTCGCGATGATTGCATCATAATTTTACGTCGTCTGATGATAGTTTATCCGCAGTTATTTTATCATATTTTCGGTTCCTTTAACATGGTTTTTCTGATTCCGATATTTTTAATGCGATGTTATGACGTTCGAATTAACATATTTTTGCTATCACTTTTTGTCGCGTTCGGCTGACGTTTGATGACAGTTTTGTTAAGGGGCCGGGCCATTTTTTTAATTTAAATGTCATAATGAGGCCGTAAAAGGGCCATAATTTCTTCCTGGATCTTCCCCTGATATCTGTTCTGAAAATTTATTTTATACGATAAATAAACAGATATATTGCGTTTTTTTTTTATTCTTTCTTTTTATTTCGCTTTGTTTTATTTATTACAGATAGACATATAAATAGATAGATAAATAGACAGATAAATTGAATTTTTTTAAAAAAAATTTTTTTCTTTTTATTTCACGTTGTTTATTACAGTTAGGTATTGCAGAAAATAGTTACATAATTTGAGCTTTCTTTTCTGCTTGTTTTTGCCGTCTTATTTTTACTCTCAATTATGTTTATATCTCTAATTTATTTTTTATTTTATAATGGAGTGGAAAATAAATTGCACTTTTTTTTAACACTCTGTTCTATTTTCTGTTCTTGTCTAATTTATTCTTTAATAGATTCCCTACCAGCGAGATTTGAAGTTGATAAAGCTTTTTGTATCATTAATCATTTTACGTTTGTTTGGGTTTAATTCCTATTAATTGTATCATTAATTTTTATATTTTAATGAAAATTTTTTGGAATACTTGTACTTTCGTTTTGGAAAGACGTTAATATCTGCATTAATTTCTATTGATACATTGCTAGAATTTTGTTTTGTCAAGAAATAATTTTCTTTTAGAGATATTTAAAAAAAAAATAAAGTTCTCTATAATAAATATCTACATACAGTAGTGTTATATTTTTAAATTAAATATACGATATAATGTACAAATTACAAATATTTTTTGTGGCTCACTGTATATTTTGTGGTTTCTTTCATTGATATTAGACTGGAATTTTTTAAAAACATACTTGGAAAAGTCGTTAGATTTTATTCTCCTACTAGAGTAGCAACCATATTAGTTATTTTTAGAACTAAAAACTCAATCGTTGTATAATCTAACAACGCTAATCGATAGAATTGGCTTAGTTTATAGTTAAAGTTATTTTATTTTATTTTTTCTACAGGTTCTTTTATTTTAATAAAATAAATTATCAGATTATAGATTTACGTTTATAGATTATCGTATGTTAGCATCAAGGGCCTTTAATCGATCGAGTTGATTAAAGAAATGAAATTTTATTCTTTCTTTCCACTAGATCTTTTTTCTGTGTTTAATGTGATATGTGATATTCTAAAGTTTTAATTTATTGACGATTGCTGTTATTATCAATATCACTATTACTTAATAATATAAACTAATAAATTGATACCAAAAAGGGTTGGTCCATCGAGTTGATTTTTAACAAAAAAATATCTAAGTGTTCTTTTTATTTTTTCTGTTTTTCATATATTTTAACAAGGCAAAAAACTAGTGGATGTATCTTAAGTTTTAATTTATAGACGATTATTTTATTTTTTAAATAAACTATCATTTTATGAGCAAAGTTAGTACCAAGGGCGAATTAGTCGATCGAGTTGATTAGAGAAATGTAAATTTTCTAGTTTATTCTGTCCGCTAGATCTATTATGTGTTTTAATTTGAGGTCTCAACTGAAGTTTTAATTTTTAGAGCATTTTTACTATTTAATAGCAAAAATTGTTTGGTCGATCCAGTTGATTTTTAAGAGTTTGCAAATGCAAGTGTTTCAATTTATTCTTTCACAAAGATTTTCATATATATTTTTAAGTCTTATAATTTTGAAAAGGAACTTTGGAGATTAGTTTTAAGAAATGTAATCACAAGATTTTCATATATATTTTTAAGTTTATAATTTTAAAAAGTTTTAACTTTGGAGATTATTTAATCTATATCATGATATGGAAGAAGTTAATGCCAAAGTGGGTTAGTTGTTAGAGTTTAATTTTTTGGAGATATGATTGTTCCACTTTTTTTTCACACGGTCCTAACACACATCTTCAAACACACCTTGTACCATTATGTACAGTTTCCATGCTCCTTTCCACCTCATATATTTCGATTGGACAACATTAGAATAATAACGATGACTTTAGACCCTGATATGTATTATTTATGGCGATTAAGTTTCATTGAGATCGATCTAATATTCGATAAGATCTTTCTAATTTTAACAATTCACCTACTCTGCATGCAATGTTCGATCCTTGAAAATAAGATGGGCTTTGGTGAATGATGGGTAAATTTTCTTCTCAAACCGGTTAGAAGGGCTGTTTAACATTCTACTTTTACTTTTTTTTGTTTTGTTTCAGGTAATGAGAGAGAACGTTTGTAAACAACCATTTTTGTATGCATGGATGATCGCATGCATGTGTTTGCCTATGATTCATGGCATCCATTTAAGTGAATATTATGTATAATGACCTTTGACCTGTCTACCTCTGACACGTGTTAACAACATTTTTTTATTTTTAGGAATAATAATTGATGTGCTCTATTAACACTCATTCTAGTTCTGAGAGGTGGATATGTACGCAACCATTGCTTTGTTAGGTGATAAGTTAGGAACGGTTTTCTCTTAAAATGTTCGTAAATTTTCTGATTATTAGATTATTAATCAGTATTTGTAAATGCAGAGATCTACTAACTCACAACATTACTGAGTTTTATCAGTTTTTCCTGGTTTAACCAAAAATATTTTGCTTTTATATATTGTTTGGAACAGCGTTTCCCAATTTTTTTTTTTTTGGTCTATAGAACACTAAATGATCACCCCACTTTTGACGGAACGCAACTTTATAAATAAAATCAATTGTAAACATATCAACCAAAGAAAGACTACTAAATATTTTGAAAATATTTAATGTAAATAATAAAGTTGTTTTGTCTTATCAATAATCCGTTTAAAATTGAATTTATGTCAGACAATTGAATTTGCAAAGCTTGAGCGGCATCTTGTCTTTAGTTTTTAATTAAGTTTTGTTGTTTGCTAATGCTGAAGTAGTAATGCAATTTTTTAAAGCTGCTTGATTGATATGATATTTTTGATGATATGATATTTTTCTTAATTTCTTATGTAACCGAAATATTAAGCAAGCAATTGATTATTGTTTAGATATGATTACAGGTTTCCAAACTCATAACTATTAAAAAATAAATTCAAACTCTTGGAACCAATTTTGTTTCTTCCAGGGAACCCTAAGATCCCACGGAACACCTTTCAGGAACCGCTGGTTTTGAAAATTCTGTGAAATTTGGGTAAATTTTAAAAAACAATACCAGAGCTGAAAGGTGTCTGGATTTACAGTATACGAAATATTTGTCCCGTTTTTTAGCTTTTTTTTCTGATATTCCTTTTTTTACGTATGTTTACAATCATGTTTCTACGAATGCAAATTTTATAATTATTGGATTGAAGAATCGTAAGATATGAATTTTCGATCCAACATCATTATTTTTTTTAATTAATAATGCTTGTAAAAATCTCTGAATTCGATTGTTCTAACTTGGGGATCGTCGATTAACTATATACATGGTTCAGACATATAGCACATGCCATTTTTAAAACACCCGTGCCATGTAAAAAGTTGCGTTATTTGCATTTTATGAAGATTATTTCAATAATTTATATAGTTATTGTTTTTTCCCCCTAAGAAGCTTGACCGTTAAATCAGATTGTTGTAAATAAACGTGAATTGTGGCGTAGGTCTTATATAATTGAGATGTTAATTCATACCATTGCATTGTAAAGTTTCTTGATACAATACATGACTTTTCGCCAGTCACGACAATCGTATTTATTCGCAAACACGTCATAAACAAAGCTCTTTCGTCGCATGTCGTTTTGGTGACATTTTAACGCACATCATGATTCCGTTGTTTTTTTCTAGAAGATTCTCTTTTTCCTGTGCCATACACAAGCACGAAGTCATTATATATGCTGTCACCGAATATTTCATTACATAAATCTTATTCCTATATGCATATGCTTTTTTTTACTCAACTTGTTGTTGTATACCACAACGATAGTTTAATAATAGATAAATGCTGGTTGCTTTTCTGAGTTGATATGTGAATAATACTTTTTTTTATCATAAATGTTTTGCTTGGTATTTCATGCTTTTGCTATGTCTTCAGGTATATGACGCAATTTTATAAATTTATTGTTAATTTTAGGCGACGAATTTTGCTCTTAAAATGATTAGACTATTCGAGAGTGGGAGAAAAATCTCGTGTTTTTGTCTTTTCAGTAATTCAATGAAATAAATCAAAGTTCTGAAAATAAATCCTAACTAGTGGGCTGCGCCCCCTGCTCGCTAACGCTCGCCAACCCCCGGAAACTGCTACGCAATCTTATATGGTTTGCTTCTCTCGCTACTTAGGTACATTGCAAATGCACAAAATTCTAAGAATTGAAAACAATCATTCAAATCCATATAAAAACTTTTTTTTTAAAAAAAAAAACTACGTCTTTTTAGTAAAAACTAAGTCATTAAAATAAATTTGAATTAAAATAAATGACATATAATTCGTTAAACCTATTAGAAATGTGCTATAGTATAAAATCTTAAGATAAAATTTCTAAAACTGATATCTCTTTAAAAAGGTTAAAATTTTGGCTATAATTAAGTCTATTAAAAATTGAAATAAGTGAATTGCAATGGAAAAACCTGCATAAACAAATAAATTCTAGTAAAACAAATAAATTCGTGATATAAATCAAAAATCGTCAAATAAATTCGTAATATATAAATTCGTGAAAAAAAGCGCTTTCGACAAAATACTAAAATAGAGATCTATCGACAAAGACTACTCACTTCTGCCTAGCTTAATAGTATGAGATTGCCGCAGCTGATAGGGTGAATTTCGGAAGAGATCACATTTGATGAGAATGCTCTCTCTGGTTATTTCAGTTTCCGTTTTTAAGAGCGCTATACGTTGAACCACCTCAGCTAGATTTGGCATGTGATATTTTTAGAGTCAATCATTGGTCGATTTTCTAGCGTTGCCATTCGGGGAGTTGTAATGAGGCCTTTTTTTGTCGCCGTGTAAGAGAAATATATATATAGATAGATTCTACAATTATGATTCTTTATTGTGAATTGAAAAAATTAATTTTTTAAGTTTGATACAAAATAAAATGGCGAAAAACAAAATTATTCTTTTTTTCCCCTTTTTGACGAAGCCCTTGTTTTTAAAAGAAGTGCAGCCGAATTTGCTGCATTTGAAATTTTTAAGTTGTCTCAAAAACTGGATGATGAAAACATTTTTTTCCCTATTATATATATTATTAGCTACAGCAGTAAACTCAGTGGTCTTAATTTAATTCTTTTGTAGTTAACTACAACTACGACGACTTTTTTATTTTTTATTTTAAATGTAGTGGCTACAAACTATTTCGAAATGTAATCACTACTTTTTGGTGACGAACTTTGCTAGACTGTAAAAAATTTTGGTGTTTAGTTGCCCCATTTCTGGCGTTGAGATAAACTCAAGTACATTTTTAAGTCAAGTACTGTTGTTATCGTCTAAAAAATTTTATTAAATTGACAAAATAGCTAATGTTTGAAAGAATTAATGCTAATATATACTAAAAATGTGCTTGGTTTTTAAAAACGCAATATAATGAAAGTAAGAAATGTTTTTGAATGTTTTAAAGTCGTAATTTAGAAAACAATAAATTCAAAAACCTAATAATAGCATAGTGAAATAAATATTAAGGGGTTGCTTAAAAAGTATTGTTACTTTAAAATTAAGATTTTACGCAATTTTATTATTATTATATTTTACGTAATTTTATTATATTATACGATTTAATAAAATTGGGATTGGGATTATTTTTCTGGAAAACAATACCTTTCCTTTATGTCTTTTATTAATTTTATTCTGTTGAGTAAAAAAAAATGTAAATTTATGGGAGAAACTGAATCCTACCACCTCTTTCATTTGAAACAATAGCAGCGAAAATTATTATCTAATTTATATATTTAGTTCCAATTAAGCGGGTGGGGTGACCACTTTGATCAGCCTGCTTAGGGACCAAGGGTGCGCCGTATCGTTTCTCATTAAACTGTTCTACCATAAAGTGCACTACTTCGCGCGCAGATCGTAGAGTTATCAAAGCAGGTGAGCAATCCCCTCTGCAGAGGATCAATATTGCGATGGCATTTCTTCGGATCCTCCTCAGGGATGTTTCCCAGACAGCCGCCAATAGCCATTGTGCAGCTTTAGTGCGACATAAATGAAGTACTGTCTACCTACCTGCACTTGAAATATTATGCCATGAATTCAGAACAATGCAGTCGAAGTTAGCTGACAAAGTGGTGTGTTCGTGAAGATAAATGTCAGTACGAAAACGCAAAGCATCTTTAGGGAATGCTACTAATGCATCTAGTTTCATCTTGAAGTGAATTTCTCATCTCATCAGCCCTTGTTAACTGTTTCAGTTAAGGTTTAAGATAAAAAGGTTTCATGACTCAGAGCTATCATTGTGATCTAGTTCTTCTATCTTCCTTTTTGTATTTTCGTCAGACATAGCTTCTAGCATCTAACTGTTAGATTACTTTGAGTTTGGCACATGGGTATAACAGTACCTGGCCCTTATGTAATTCAATCTTATCTTCATTTTACATTCAAAATAGTCCTTAAAATTCTACATTCGGAATTGTATATCCATGTAAAATCAGTTTCAAAAAATAAATAAATATTATCTTCCTTTTTTTTTTCATAAGTGAAAAATTTATAAAGAAAATTAAATATGATTTAAATAATAATTTTTTCGAATTTCATTTCGAGTTGAATATAAATATAGTTCAGAATACCTGCGATTGTGTATAATTATCACCCTATGTATTATATCGCCCCATATATGAAAAAAAAGAAGCAAAATTATAGCTTCAGAACCAACGAAAATTGCTGTTCTTAATAACCCAATCACATAACTGAAGCAATAAAAATAGCACTCTATAATCGATTAAATTATCTATTCGCTTGTCAGAGAATAATAATTTATTGAATGGGATGAGCTAACTATTGTTGGATAAGGTTTTTTTTTATAGTTAAGGTAGTGGCAAAACCTTAAGTCTTTGTTCTCAACAGCCAACCTTTATGGGTCATTCACCTCTCTTCTTTAACCAGACAGTCATATAATTCTAATAGTAATCTTTGGGATCTTTTACTAATTATTTATCTTTTAACTAACTATATTTCTAAGCGTCAAATGAGGCATTTGCGTGGAACAAAGGATTAATTTTCGTTCTATAAAGTGTACATTTTATAAGAAACAAACTTACTGAAGTGTTAATATCTACAGTTGAGCGATATATCGGGAAATATCACATCACGAAAACGATATTTTAAAAAGTTTTCTTATTATATATCGAAAATGTCATTATTTACTGTAAGTATCAAATGTATGATCAAATCAACGACGATATGTCACGATCACTGTCGAAAACTATCAATCTTGAATACTTTAATGTCGTAAGTACTACCCATACCATTAAATATCAAATACGATCAAGTTACATTAGTACAAAAAAAAAAAAAAAAGGAAATGTAAATTAGTTAAATTAGAATATTATTGCATTGAAATTCTCTGATCTTCCGCTCTGAATTCAGGGCTTTTAATATTCTTTCACGTGACTTCCAGTTCCGCCATTATTTTTCATTTTTCCATTTTTGAATATTAATAACGAAAAATTAAAACATTCACGGAAATTAAATAATGTAAACATGTTTATTTTATCTTTTACTGCTAACTTTGTCTTTTTTTTTTAGAAAAATTTAATAATAAAAAATAGAGTTCAAACAAAATAAAGTACTATTCTTTTAAAAATACTTACCTGTCCCTATATTTTTATAGGATGTCCCAAGTTAGACTGTCAGTTTTTTTTACAAAATTTGTAATAAAAAACGGTCAGTGTTATTTTTATTATTATTACTATTTTATTATTAGTTGTAGTAGCGCTAAATTCAGTAACCGATCTTAATCTTTCCATAGTTTCTGTTTTTAATTTCATTTTTTTAACAGATGGCACTCCAGTTAATAAACGTGCTTGGCATACAGAGACTATATAAATAAAAACAATTAATTAAAACAATTAACAATATAAATGAAACAATACAAATAAAAACAATTGAAACCATTACGTCATTTTTATTTATCAAAATGCAAATAAAAAAAATTATTTTAAAAAAAAACATGCATCTTTACCAGTTGTATGTATGGGTGTGTGAGNTATATATATATACATCAAAATCTGCATGTCTGGCTGAAAAGAAAAATTGAAAAATTTACCTTTTCTCACAATGATTTTGTTTTTTGATTTCTCACAAGTTTTTTTTCTTCTCAATTTTCTTCTTTTTAATTTTTTTTTCCTTGATATAAATTTTTGAAAACCGTTAGTCTAAATAATAATATCCTCTATCTATATGTATTCAGTTAATTCCAGTTAGCTTCCATGAAGAAATTAATCTATCATCGGAATTAATCTATTTAATGGAGTTCTGGGTGATGGCAAATGACAGCGATGAGTGGGGGGAGTGACTTTAAACGCTTGATATTTTACATATGAATGTTCTCAAAGCGCACAATCAAATATTTTATCTTACATAAAGGCGTTGGAACAAGATTTCTCACTTTACCAACCTTTCATTTCATCGAAAAGTAAACAGATGTTTAATTTACTCATTTCTGAAAAGTGCAGATAATTTGGGTTGGAGAAATTCTTTCTTTCTGTTTTTCTCTTTCATTCCAGAACATTAAAGCATTTTCATTCTCTTTTCATTTTACAGATCACATTGAAATTTCTGGTAACTTCAGAACGCTTTTCAAAAGATGGCACACTTAAGCGCATGAAAGAACAAGGTATGTAATATAAACGTTTTAATAGATTTTCTATAAATATAAATGTTTTGACCCCTGACATATCGATTTTCGATTGCACTGTAAAACTGTAAACAACAACTCGCACCGGAATGTTGACAGAGATGTCAACTGCTCCGGACACGCCAAAATAATTTAATTGTGCAAAAAAAAGACTATTTCTGCTTGCTTTTTAAAAGGTATAGTATGACATAACTACTATAAAGTGGTGAATTATATAATACTACGAATTATTTAAAAATAGTGATGGAAAAAATCTACTAAATTGAATTTATTAAACCAAGAATCACAATTGATAAACTACCACTTTAAATTATTTATTTGCTGTCCGGTGCAAGTTGGCATCTCTGTGCTGAAGACGTCTGAGACACGTCAATTATTGTTCTGACAAATTATTGTTCTGACAAATGTCTCCCAGACGTCTCCGTACGTCAAGGGGTTAATAGCAAACCTACTAATTTCTTTGGAAAAAAATTAAAATTTACTTTCCAAGTATGTCACTTTAGCTCATAATTCGTCTGACTTAAATGTTGCTTTATTTTTAACTATTTTTCGAAATTATGGCTTAAATTAAGTGACTTTATCTCGCGAAAACAAGTGTCGTCTTGAATTTGTTATTCGCATAGATTATAAAATATTTTGCTTGTAGTCTCTACTTTCCTTTTTTAAATCTTCAATTAATTAGTATATGATAGAGACAAATAAATAATACTGAGATTCTGCGGAATCTTTAATTAGTTGCCTGACACATTCCCTAAAATGGAACTACTGATTGATCGTAACTTTACATAATATTATTCTAGAAATATTGGTTGCTAAATGACGCACGCACCTCGGAATTTAATTTTTTTAGTCTACGTCATATATAATCCGTTGCTTGGTAGACTGACTGGGTAGTGGAAGAAAAAAAATTTTTTTACTTACCGTTATTCAGGAAATATTTTTAAGTGACGCACTTAGGAATTTTTTTTCAGTCAGATTGCACCTGTAATTAGTTACCCAACTCATAGTCTAAAAGCGTGAAAATAAAACTTTTATTTCCTTGGAAGAAATATTGAAATTGCTGTTTATGAATCGTTAGCTGCTAATTTTACATTATTTAGGAAGTACATCTGTTTCTAAACAGCGCAACTTGAAATGTCTAAGACTATTTGCGTCGTTAATTATTTTCTCAAAACATCCGCTAAAAAAACTGAATGACAATTTCCCCCCCGGAAATATCATTTTATAAAATATGTGAAAAAGAACTGTGACTATAGATGGATTTTTGTAACTGCTAATTTTACATAACCTGTGTCAGAGGATATATATTACTGAATGACGTACCTTTTAAACTGTTAACCCTATTAAATAACAAATAAGGGAAATTATATTTGATATCGCAGTCGAATCACAACCATAAACAGATATTTTGTAACTGATCTAAAGTATCTGTTACCTGATAAAGTTCTAAGCTAAATATATGTTGTCTAATTCTATTCACGTATATTTCTGTTTAAACTTCTCAACTTGAATGGCTAATGTATAATTAAAGACGTTCTTACTTATTGACGTAAATATAAAATTATGAATGTGGAAAACATACACCTTTGGCAATTTAAATGTTTCAGCTTCAATTAATATTCTTTCTTTATCTATGAAAGAATTTTTCTAAGACACGTAAATTTTTTTTAAAATTTCAGTTACATGATTACAGGAAAATTTGAAATAATATGCTTGGTATTATATGTATGCTAATTGATGCAATGTTCTATGTAATGTTCGCAATATGTCAAATCTAAAAAAAGAAAATATTTAAAATTTTATACTTAATATATTCTAAATTTTCTTAGCCCTTTCTTACTTAGCGTTGGTCCAAAACATCACAATTTAGATAGTTTAAAATCAAATTTTTTTTAAAAAAAAATTAATATAAAAGATTTTTAAAATCTATTTGGTCTTTTTGGTTGATTTTCGTGTTTATTTTCAAAAAACCTTTCTATAGAAATTTTAATGTTCGTGTTTATGTAAAACGCATTAAAATATAATCCAGTATAGAGTTTAAAGGATAAATAAATTGCTTTTGGTGTAATTTTCACCTCATGCTGCTTACGAGAAATATTTAATTTTAAACCTTTAAAAATAAAAATAAAATTTCACCCCATCTCAAAATTTAGGGGAAAAAGCAAAGTCCGTTCCTGCTAATCCACCCCCCCCCCCAAAAAAAAAANCCCCCCCCCCAAAAAAAAAATATGAGTTAAGCGAGAAGCCAATTGGAGTCACTTTGGCGTCTTCGCCTGGAAATATTGAACTGATTACGATTTTTAAAGGTATTAACTTGCCACTATTAATCAATGGGATGCCTGCAAGTGTCGTAGTGTAGGTATATCGATCCAGATTGGTTGTTGAAACGTGGCATTTGTTTACGTTTGCAACTGTTCTTTCCATTCTATTTCGAGTAAGCCAAGCCCTTCAAATATCAATTTTCTTGAGTGACACATTCTATATTCTTGCACAAAGATTCTTTCGTCAAGATTTCAATTCTTTTATGACTTATTTCTTACTTAACACTAAAACAAGCATGAAGTCGTGTAGACCATTAACTAATTTTGCATCGAAGTTGCCAGGTAGTACACAAAACAAAAAATATATCACAGTTACGATAAAACAATAAAAAACAGTTATTGTTTTATTTATCTCTGTTTCAATAAATTACATAAATCTAAGTTAAGTAAAAGACGTAGACGAGAAAGAATTATATTTCCACAAATTCGATGTGCGATAACTTTAATCAAGTTTACGTTAATTAATATTCTGACTTATGTGGAGAAACTTAGCTCAACATTAATTCGCCATTTTGCTTATAAGCGATCAGCTGGAGCTGACGTCATAAGTCACACGTGTGGGTATTGTGATCTTCTTAAAGTGCAAGTACCCAATAGCGAGATTTTGTAATGCATTACAGTTTGCATTAACACAACGCTCCCCGAGCTTCATAGCGCGGTCGCGAAAATTTTCCTTTAAATCGCATTAGGGCTGAGAGGTAGAAAACAAGGTTACGTAAGGACAAATCCTATTTCTAAATCTTTTTAATGCCGAATCAAATACTCTCTATCTCTAATATATAATTTCTCTATATAAGCGTTAATGTTTTCAATAACTTGAACCCTTCTTGAGCTTCTAAGCGCATGCGTGAAAGTTTCTTTACTATCTCATAATCGATGAGATGTCGAAAACAAGGTTAATGTTACATAATTCCTATGCCAAATTTCTATAAGTGCGAAACAAATACTCGCTGTTTCTAGCATATAATTTCTCTATAAAAGCTTTGTTTTCAGTTACTCAGTTTAAAGCGTTTCGATTTACATTAACTCAACGCTTCCTGAGCTTCTCAGCGCGAAATATGCTAAATCTCTTTAATACCGAAACGAACACTCGCTGTCTCTAACATATAATCTCTCTATATGAGCGTTAATAACGCTTCTCAGCGCATGCGTAGAATTTTTTCTACAAATCACATTATCGCTGAGGGGTGAAAAACAAGGTAAACGTATGACAATATCGTAGCTTACTCGCTATCTCTCATATATATTTATCAGGGTGCGTAGCGTTTTTAAAAAGTGCTTAAAGGTGCTTATTTTCGTTTTATAAAAGCCCTTAAAGGTTCTTTTTCCATTGGGTGTTTTTAAAAAGTGCCTAATTTTCCCTTATTCAAAATGACATTTTTCTTCTACTATGTTGATTTTCGCTTCGAATTATGCTGCAAGACACTGTTCACATTGTTCCATTCAACGTTGTCACAATTAATTCACCCACAATCTATTTCGGCGTTTTATCAGTCCGTAGCGTATGATTCAAAATTACATGGTAAGCGTTACATGATTCAAAATTTAATGATTTTTGACAATTGTCAAAAGATATGCCAAATGTTTTTTTTTTTTTTTTTTTTTTTTTTTTTTTTTAGCATGATGGTTAAAACAAGATAAAACCGTTAATTGTAGAAAATTTTCCAACCCTGCCTAATTATGATATTTGTTCCAAGAGCTTAAAAATATTTTTTGAGTGCTTGAAAAGTGCTTATTTTTTTGGTTAAATAATTTGGCTAAGCACCCTGTTTATAGGCCTCATGAAGATAATCCGTTTTGCCAAGATGCTTCGCATTTTTCTATGAAAGGAGTGTAAAAACAAAAATTAGGGAATCCTAAATTATATATTCATTTATTTCCCCTTCCCTCCAAAAAAGTCGTCTCATTTTTTTTTTTTTTCCTTCACTGAATTTATTTTTTGAAAAGTAAGGCAAGCCATGCGGGTTCACAAATTTTCCTGCAAAATTGAGTTTTTTTTTAAAAAATTGAAAACAAAATCATCTAGAGTTGTTTGAAAACATTGCGTTCATTAAATAACCCTCCCAAACTTATATCTTTCAGAAATAAACCTTTCCTTTCCTTTAACAAGAAGACAATTCAAAACAGTCTCACCGTTCCAAGAAATTCACGAAATCTCGTGAATTCCGCGTATAGAATGTGTGCCAAATAAAAAGATGTGTTTTTCCTCCTTTTTATTATCTCGATTCCTTGAAACAAGAGGAGGAAAAGCCCATTTAACATGATGATTCAGTTGCCGCCGAGATCGGAATTCAATCACGATTCCGTTTGTTTGTTTTCTCACTCCTTGGAAAGGAATTGAATCACTTTTGCTTTTTTTAGCGCATTTTCTTACTCTCTGCGCACTTTAAAACGCGCCATTATTTTTCGCACGCTTTTTTTCTTCCTCTTTTTTTAAAAAAGTGATTCCAAGGTGAATAAAACAAGCAAAAAAGTTCGTCATGCATATGCAAAACTGGAGCAAACACGTGTAGAAAGGAGAATGTCTAGGTCAATGGAAAAATTGTTCCTGTGTGACCGGTCATTGAATTTTGGGAACGTGGATGCTGTTTCGTGGGAAGTTTATTTATGCTAATTAGCTGTTGGAACTTAAATTATGCAACGGCTCGTTTGTTTGTG